CTTCCTCCTGGCTTCCAGAGCTCAGAAATCCCGAGCAGCAGAGGCTTTCCTGAGTGTCCTGCCTTGCTCCTCCTTGGTCTCCAGATGTCAGGCTTCTGGAAAGTTAGACAGGAGTGAGAAAACTGTGTTTGTGTAGTGTGAAGTGACTCGCCCTGGTTTAGCCTTAACAAGATCCCTCCTATATATTTAATGACCTGAATGTAAAATTTATGGCTTGGAATGCCCCAGCAGCAGAGGAAGCCTTCAGCACACAAGCTGCCTTTTGCAGGGCAGGAGAAGTGAAATCCCCTGAGGTCTGGGAAGTCTGAGTGATGTAGTTATGGTTGGCACTTTGAATATATGTGTAGACTACTTCAAAATAAATATTTGCAGTTCAACTCTAACATACATCTGGGAAGGTGAGAACTAGCATGTATTAATGTTTCTTCAAATTAATAATTTTGAAAATTTTACACTGAAATAATTTTGCTGTTGCACATAATAAACAGAGGTTGGTGTGGGTACATACTGGAGAGAAAATCACCTGCTCTCTATGCACACCATTTCCTCCTGTTTTAAAGAGAATCAGCACTTCTCACATTTCAGCCTCTTTAAAGAAGGGAAAACAAAGTAAGGGAGCTCTTGCAAGACGTGCCATTTTAATCTCTTGTTTCGACATGTGCAGCTTTAGTGCTGCTGAAACTCTCGTTCACCTGCTGCCTCTGTGTATGAGAGATAAATTCACTTCAGTCTCCTGGGAAGCCATGCAATGTCTGATTCCTCTCCCAGTGTCATCTGTGCCTCTGCTCCGTGCTTGATGCCACCAGCTCAGGCACTGCACAGACACACACTGGGCAAGGAGGCTGGAGCTGCACCCAGGATAAACACGGAGAGATGCCCTGGGAATAGTTGTGTCCATGAAATGCCTGTGATGGGGCCCAGATCCCAGCCCAGGAGGTCCTTTCCCTTGGTCAGCACTGGAAACACAGAAGGTGAATGTGGAGCTGCTGAACAAGATGGGCTACATTTCTCAGGAACCTCAACCTGACCTCTACCTTTGGTTGTTAGAGAGTTTCTCCAGCTCTATCCATAGTCTTTGTCTAGCTATAGATGATAATTAAGTAGCTCAGTAAATGCTTCTGGATTTTTGTATCCAACGTTTTTAGAAAGGACTGGTTTGTGGTCTCCAAATTATTCCAGTTGTTTTCTTGATTATGCTAGAACTGACCCTTACTAATGCACTGATGGACTGAAAGCTCATTTTAATACAACAATTATTGTGATTTCATTTTCTTAAGCTCTCCACAGTCTTTCCTCTGGAAATGGATTCTCTAAAATTTTCTCTTTGTGCTGTGTAAATTATTCCTTTCAGACCTACTGACTGCTGCTGTTTCTGTTAAATTATACCACTCTGTCCTTTCTTCAGAGTTTTCTGGGGCATCTCTGCATTTCTTCACGATATCTGTTTCTGTTAAATTATACCACTCAGAGTTTTCTGGGGCATCTCTGCATTTCTTCACGATATGGCAACCACTAACAAATCACTTGTTTTTACGGAAAGATGGGAAATCAAAGAAAAGGAGAAAAAAAAAAAAAAAAAAAAAGGACCGACGACCCACTTCCTGCGTTGCCTGCTGCTGCTTTGGTGCTTTCATCTTCACCGGGAGGGGCGGTGGGACCGGGCTGTGAACCGGAGTCCGCAGCTCCTCTTCCCTCGCTCTCATAAAGCTGCAGGCGTGACTGGAGACTGAGGCAGCACAAACCGGCTGGAAACAGGGATATACCCATCGGAGGTAAAGGAAATGCCATTTGAAAGCAGGGCATTGTCTGCCCTGGACAGTGGCTGACAAGGTTATCAAAGTTGTGCATCCTCTCCCCTCCCTCCAAGGGCAGCCGCGCTGCCTTCCCTGCCCAAAGGGCACCCTGGAAATGCCACCACCGTGTCCCTCTGTTTGCTCCTTGCAGTGGGTTTGGCCACCGAGGGGGGAAAAGCTCTGGGGAAGATGCCCGGGCAGGGGACAGAGCCCATTGCACTGCTGCAGCTGTGCTGGCAGCTGGCAGGGCCAGCAGGCTCCGCTGTCCTGCAGCCTGTGCCTGTCCCTGTGCCTGTCCTGTGCCTGCCCTGGCACCTCGGCTTCCCTCAGGGCCAGGCTGGACAGGGTTTCTCCAGCACAGCCCTGAGAAGACTCTTTTTGACACCGGAATTGATTTTATATGGAGGTGAGGAGGAACATTCCGTGCTGCTCTGGAGGCGGGAAAGAGCAAGAAAAGTGGGTTTGTCACTTGGAGCTTTTCTTGAGTAAGGGACAGTGTCACACACAGGGTTGTCTCCGGTGAGTGGATGGAAATTTTTCTGAAATGTGCCCCTATTTAGATACATTATAAGGGAAGGAGGAGAAATACCACCAGCTAATCTGTGCAAACAAGTGATTTAGCCACTTAACCAGCTTAACCCCAGGGTCTGAGCTGTCCAAACTGGGCCCCTCCTTCAGTGTGGATCCTGCATCATTTGAGCAGATGATTTACTGCTTCTTCCCCTTTCCTCTTTCTCAGGATTAAAAACCAAGAGAGGAATTAGGCTTTTATCTCATTTGTTACTCTTGAATATTGAGCAGATTTTCCTCAGAGCTGTTGGCACAAAGTGCATTTGTAACATACAGCAGAAGTGAAATTACAGAGCTCAGATAAAATGCTTGTGTGCTGAATGGAAACCCAGGCTGCAGCCTCGGAGCTGCAGTGTGAGGGGGCTTTTCATGCTCCACCTGTGCTTGCAGCTTTAGTCCTTGTGAAATAAGCCAGAGCTGACTGGGCATTTGTTAATACATTGGGCAGAGTGCTTCTACTCCATGAAGCTTTTATACTAAAAATTGCCTCCTGGTTTCAGTGTCAGCCCTTTTGCTTCCTCCTTGCCTTTGGGAGAGCATGGATGCAGTCGTATATCTTTATTTAATCAGCTGGAAAAGTGCCAAATAGCTCCCAAGGTGAAAAACAAGGTGCTTTTATCCTCCTGGCCCCGTGTGCCAGAGTGGAACAATGGTCCTGTCGTGTAATGAGCTGAGTCAGCATAGGGAATAAAAATTATATCTCCCCTTCAGACTGTCAGCCCTGTTATCCTTCTGCAGGCTGACACGTTCACTGAGCTGGGCTGGCTCTGTGTCGTGGCCCTTATGTGAGCCTGTGAAATTTTGTGCTCGGGTTTTATGGCATTCTGACTCATCAGCTGATTTTTTTCCCCTCCTCTCTCCCAGGTCACATGAGAAGGGGCTGAACACACATGGTCTGTCCTGGCTGCAGAGCTCAGGTGTGTAAGTTCACCCACAGGGGTTTGCTGCTCTGGCATCAGCCCTGCTCTGTGCCAGCCCCACTCCCCAGGCCAGGAGCAGGGGCTGCAGGGTGCCAGTGGTGTCTTGGGATGCAGAAAGTGTGAGCCCAGGCTCAATTGGTGGGGGAGAGCAAAGGAGAATCACTGTCTCAGCTCTGGAAGGCAGGCAGTGCCCTAGAATCTGGCTTGGCATAAATGCTGGGCTAAGCTCTGCTTTTCTCGTGCTTTGCCTAGCACATCGAAGGTCTCTCTTGGTTTAATAAGAACCAAACCCATGTGCAGTGTTTACAGACCTGTACTATCTCTCTGAGGCAGAGCTGCATTTCTTCTGCACCTATTCCACACAATAAATTACTTGGAAAGCAGGAAGTTCAGGGAAGCACCTGCTGCCCTCACCTGCTGTTGCAGTGAGTGAAACCCAAGTATGCTATGAATTCTGATAACAAAATTACCTTCTGTAACTATTACATTAATCAACCTCTATAGTATGAAACTCTATTAAAATGGTTTGTTAATGCGTGTTAGTTCATATTGTACACTGTAATGGAAAGAGGTATGGGAATTTTACTGGAGACTTTTGTTTCATGCTTAAATAAAACAAGTTAAAGGACAGGACAGTCCCAGAAAAAGGGACTTTGCTTCTGGGAAGCCTAGAGCTGCCCATGAAGAATAAAGGGCACCTCTAGCGAGCCGAGGTAGTGCCAGCATCCTCTAACACATCTCCCAGCTTTGTCTGGGATCAGAGGCAAGTAACTACAGCAACAGCTGGGTCATTAGGCAAGCAGCACAAAAGCTGTAAAACCATAGCTGCTTTTCCAAGTTTTGCTCTGATTAACAATCACTTGTGTGGGTGTTGGTGATTAGTCACATTGTGCTGTTCCTGGACATTTGATGGGTACAGAAACCCCGTGTAAGACCACATTTAAGGTGCCCCAGTTTGGCTGGGACAACTTTTGAGACAGTTTTCCTGGGCACTTGAGTGGGCAGTGATGATCCAGATTGCTGCTAGCCATGCTGGAAGGAGACTTAAGGCAGTGTCTATTTCTTTCTTCATGCTGTTTTTTCTGTTAGGAGGAGTTGGTTGCGTGTGGAAACTGAGTGTAAAAAATGCAACTTTTGTATGTAAATGGAAGGGAGTAGAAACATGAGGGTAGTTATAGCGTGTAAATGGAAGGGAGTAGAAACATGAGGGTAGTTATAGCGTGTAAATGGAAGGGAGTAGAAACATGATGGTAGTTATAACCACAGTTGTTTTCTTCTAGTAAGTACTTTTAGATGCCTGGCATTCAGAGTAAATAGCATTTAGTTTCTTTTTTTAATTTTTATTATTTTTAAGTTTTGCATGAAAATGGCACTCTGTTTGCAGTACAAAATTCCTCTCTGGGTCAGAGCAAGTCAAAATGGCTTCATACAATGCATACGTACTCACACATGTTGGCCTGTGATCTACAGATACACACAACACATAATCATAGCGATTCAGTGAAGTGTGCTCACTGGTATTTCAAATATAAAACTCTCAAGATCGCACCGTGGCCAGTGGGGCTGCATGACCCCGGCCGGGGGAGCAGCCAGGAGCGCAGGGGTGTGTGCCGGGCAGTGTCACCTGCGGCGACACCTGGGCTCCTGCGGGCAGGGCAGTGCCTGCGGGCGGCTCTCGCAGCCCGGCTCCGCGGCTCTGCTGTCCGTGCGGTCTCCGCCGGCGGCAGGAAGGGCGGGGATGTGCCGCGGGCTGTGCTTTCCCCGCGGAGCTCCCCGCGCTCCCCGCGTCACCGCGCTCGGCTATAAAGCGCAGGCGGAGCGCATCCCCCGGCAGCAGAGATGTTCTACTCGGGCATCCTCACGGAGCCCAGCAGGAAAGAAGTGGAGATGAGGGAAGCGGCGTCTCTCCGGCAGCAGAGGAGGATGAAGCAGGCGGTTCAGTTTATCCACAAGGATTCGGCGGATCTCCTCCCTCTGGACGGGCTGAAGAAGCTGGGGACGTCCAAGGATACTGTAAGGCTCTATTGTGTTTATTGGAAGGAGACTTAAGGAGCTGGTAGGGCAGCATCTATTTCTTTATTCACGCTGTTTTTCTGTTAGGAGAAGTTGGTTGCGTGTGGAAACTGATTGTGAAAAATGGGACTGTTGTATGTAAAAGGGAGTAGAAACATGATGGTAGTTATAGCGTGTAAATGGAAGGGAGTAGAAACATGATGGTAGTTATAACAGAGTTGTTTTCTCCTAGTAAGTACTTTTGGATGCCTGGCATTCAGAGTAAATAGCATTTAATTTATCTTTTTTTAATTTTTTTTTTAACTTTTGCATGAAAATTGCACTCTGTTTGCAGTACAAAAATTCCTCTCCGGGTCAGAGTAAGTCAAAATGGCTTCATACAATGCATACGTACTCACACATGTTGGCCTGTGATCTACAGATACACACAACACCTAATCATAGAGAGTCAGTGTAGTCACTGGTATTTCAAAATGTAAAACTCTCAAGATCACACTTCAAAGAAGGGTAATGCATATATGGGGGTTTTTAAACTGAAGAGACATAGTTTTAGGTTTAAATATTTACATATGCAATGATCTATGTGATCCTGTACTTGGTGTTATTCACCATGTCTGGGGGCTGGAGAGCATTTCTAAATACTGTACAAATGTTTCAGCTTTCTCTACTGGGAAAGGATACTTCAATGTTACATCAAAAGTTCTGACAGAAGAACTAAAATTTAGAAAACATATCTACCAGGGAAAGCTCCTTTAGCTTTTTTTTGCCCACGTGTTGAAAAAAATCTTGCACCTTGTATAACAATATTTGGTTTTTTTTCCAGTGCTTGATATGGGTTTTATTGAAAACCAAAGTCAATCTTTTTATTTTTAGTGTTTTGTTTTGTCAGAGCCTTGCTGCTCAGCTGGGTTAGGCTTGTCTCTGCCTGCCTGAGACCAGTGGAGTGAGTTGGCTGTTCTCTGCAGAGCACATGGAGGTGATTTTTTTTGATATCCCAAGGGTTTTGCAATTGTAGGAAGTGAAGCTCCTGCACAGGGAAAGGCTCAGAAGGAGCTTTCCTGGTCACTTCTGAATTGCAGCTCTCCAGCAGGGAGTTGAAGTGCTTTTCAGGGAGGGATGGCATTATTACTGTTTTCAGCAGATTCTAAAGGACATTTTGTGGCTCTGTGACCCCCAGGGAGCAGGACTGAGTCCCTGACGTGGGTTCTGCTCTGCCCAGACAAGAACCAACAGGCAGCAGGAGCCAGGGGCACTGAGCACTGAACTCCCCTGCCCTGCAGAGTGAGGACCAGGGGCAGAGCACGGGGCTCCTTGACAGCCCCTTGGACACAGAAGTGTCACGCGAGGTGTCCTCCCTGCTCCTGTGCCATGGCTGCAGCACCATCCCTGCTGCACCTGCAGCCCTGCAAGGGGGATCTGCACGGGGGCTCTCTCCAGGGATGTGCCAAAGCCCTGGGAAGGGCTACAGCTCCCAGTCCCCTCCAAGAACAAAAAAGAAGGTGCAATGTGGCAAGGGTGAGACGCCCATCTGGCTGGTGGGGTGAGGTGAGACCCCAGCTGCTCTGGGCCACCCCACTGCAAAATGCCCCTTGTCCCCATGCCACAGTGAGGGTGATGGCACATGTGGCCAGGGCTCCCTTGGCCACAGCCTGCTGCCCCATGGGGTGTGCAGGGAGTCCCCAGAGTGGGAGCACTGGCACTGGGCTGTTCCCACAGCCACTGAGAGGATCCTGTGGATTTCAGAGACGTGTCCCTGGGGTGTGTTGCAGTGAAGTGATGCTGCCACACTCACCCCTCACACAGCCAGGGTGGGAAAGGGCACTGCTGAGAGGACACACTGTGTGTCCCCACTGCCATGGCTGCCTGGATGTCACAAGGGCTGTCCCCAGGAGGAGCAGGAGATTGTGCATCTCTGAGACTGGACACCCTCCAGAATATGGGACTTCACTTTGGCGTGGCCCCAGATTGAGAGGCCCGTGCCCAGACGGACTGAGCTGCATGATCAGGAGGCCCAGGGCATCAGAGCTCTTGGCCCAAGGTGTTTGCATGGCTTCCTTGAGGATGATTGTGCACGTGCCCCCCAGCAGCAGGTTCCTGTGCCCAGAGCTGTGTGGCAGCCGTGCTGACGTGCACGGAGGGGCTCCTGGCGTGCCCGTGGTTATTAATGCAGGGTTTCCCCTGAGGGTTTTCCAACAGCCTTGGCAGGAGCAGAGATGAGGGAACAGCTCCTCAGAGATGGCGACAGGTGGTGAGAACAGATCCTGTCTGTCACTGTGGCAGCTGGCAGCAAGCACTGCAGTTTTGGGGAGAAATCCCCTTCCTTGTGACCTGGTGCGGGGGTACTGAGCACAGCGAAGCTGCAGCAGCTCACCAGGGTGGGTGTGCTGGCATCCCCCAGTCTGTGTGCCACCACCCAGCTCTCCTGGCGATGCTGTGCACAGGCAGGTTTGAGAAATGCTTCTTGTGATCATCCATTTCAATGCTGTCATCATTCCCAGTGAATGACTCTGGCTCAGAACTCCAGCTCCTCACTCCCTTTATGTACTCCCCTCTGTCCAGTATGACACCAAGCTATTGCAAAGCATAAACTGAATTAGGCAAATGTTATGCTGGATATAGAGAACAGAAATGGCTTTGTTTTGATGACTCTTCCCTCTATTAGCCTTTTTCCTGAAGCCCAAAAAACTGGCACGAGATGGTGTTTAGCTGGGATGGGGGCTCCCTGACAGGGTAACCATGGCCCCCTTCCCAGCCTGGACAGGCTGTGCTGGCTCTTGCAGCTCCTCCTGGTGCTCTGACACTTGTCCCTTGCCCCCAGAGCCACCAGACCAGTTTGGAGCAGCTTTATCTGGAGCAGTCCCGCATCATTTGACAACCTGGGAAGCAGAGTTATAAATAGTGGCAAAAGCAGCAACAGCAACAAAGCATTTCCCATTTCCATCATGCCCTCAGACCTCCCCTGGGCACCCTCAGCACAACACTGGGTGTCCCATGGCCCAGCCCCAGCTCCCCATGGCTGGGGCAGCACTGGATGAGCTGCAGCATGGTCGGGTGTCCCCACTCCCCTGCTGTGCACTCCCAGAGTTTGGTGAGAATAGCCTGGAATGCACAAAGATGTGCTGCTGTGTGCTCTGCCTGCTGTGCTGCTGTGTGCTCTGCCTGGGCACACGGGGGCAGGGGGCAGCTCTGCCCCCCTCATCACCCTAAGAGAGGGGCTGACAGCACAGGATGCTGTCAGGGACATGTGAGTTTGGGTGAAGGACGGGAAGAAAAGAGAGAAATTGATTATTTATTGGGATTAGCTCTGTCAATGCATTAAAACTCTTTTTTCCCTCCCCCCCACTGTCTAGGTACAGAAGAAAGGGCAAACCTCCAGAGATGGGTTTGTGGAGGAGGGGAGCTGGTGTCTTCCCTTTCACCTCCACCTCAGTGCAATTGTTGATGGGTCTTGTTATCCCCAGATTTAGAAGCCAAATAGAGGGAAGCCTGCCAGAGAAATGAATACTGCAAGCTGCAGCAATGCACTTGCTTACAAATCACAGAGGAACAAAGCTGGGCAGAATTATTTGTGCTTTTGACAGGCAGTGGTAAATAAGGTCAGCAATAGATGGTGTCTCCAGTCACTTCTTTAGGTTTTCACTGTGACACTTTTAGGGGATCATAGCTATTTGCAAATCTTGGGGTTGGAAATTGATCTATCTTATGAAAAAATTCTGATTTGTATTTATGCAGTGCTGAATGATACAAGGAAAACTTCTTTTCTAGCTGAGACAATGAAATGTAACATTCTATACTTTTATAAAACTTTCAAGAGTTTTTTGCAATGCAAAGGAATATTGTACCAGCTGATCTGGGTTCCTTCAAGCACTGCCAGGCCCACACTGGAGGGAGAACACAGCTGCCTTCCCCACTGCTCTCAGGAGGAGGTTTTCCCCCTCTCCCTCCCTCCCAGACACGGTCTGCTTGCAGTTTGCCAGCAAAATATGCATTTGCAAATGTCCCCTGGCAAATTATCCATCTACCAAGTACGTATCCATCACTTGAGTCATGTCCGTGACTAACGTCCCTCACTGTGGTGCACATGAGAGTCAAGGGAAATCCAAGTTAAAGCAAAGTAATTAATAGCCTGAGACAGGATGGTGCTGCAGGGAACCTTTTCAGCCCTGTCCTGCCAGATTATTGCTGTATTGGAGCACAGCATAAGGAATATTTGTCTCCCTAGAGGCAGAATTTGCTGTGGTTTTCAGAAGGGCAAGTGTCAACAAAAGACAATCCCATTTGTGCTGGTGACTTGTGACTGCTGAGTGATGGATTTTTTCCTTTTGGTGATGGATCCCATGTAAGATTCATAAAAACCAGGGCTTGAGAAAACCCAGATATGCTACTGATTAACAATCCATAGGAGAACTTGTAGTTAAATATAAATAGGTTGAATTCAATGGTATGTGCCAGTTAAAACAGCAGTGAGGAAGGTGCTGGAGATTGAGGCCAGGCAGATCAGAAGAGCACCCACTGTCCTGGATGGCATTCAGGAATTTCTCTTGGTGCTGCCTGAGTGGGGCTGGGCACAAGGAGGTGACCACTGTGTGACAGGCTGTCTTCTGGGTGAACCTCATCATTTACTCCTACACTCCCCTATCCTTCCTTTTGTTGTTTTTAAATGATGTGAAGAATTACTGTTCCAGCTGCGTTCCTGAGCTGCAGCCAAACCTAAAGTGTGAAAAGGACATCCCATCCACTGTCAGAAAACCCTGGCCTGCATTTTTGCTCTGGTGAGGAGCACTGGAGGTGATCACAGTGCTCACTGTGCACCTACTGCTTCTGCCTCACACAAGGGAGCCCTCGCTTCCAAACTGATCTGTTTGTCCCTCCACACAGGGCTCAGCAGCAGTGCAGCCTGCCTGCTTTTAGTCCAGTTAAGTACTACTGGTTTCTGCTGTTTGGCCTCACTGGGAAGGCAGCACAGAGTCAGTTCTGATTCCTCCCCACCAGGAGTTACTGCTTAGACTCAGGGCGTGCTCAGTAGCAGGCTGGTCAGACACATCACCTGCAACCCAAAATGGCCATGGGATTTTATTTCAAGCAGAAGAAAGCAGGAGGGTGGAAAGTGGGGATGCGAGGAGCTGAAGTGTCCCAGTGACCACTGGTGCTGCTGCAGCTGCCCCAGCCCATCAGCCTGGCCCGGCTCTGCTGCCTGCGCTGCGCCCACAGCGCGATCTGAAGCACCAGCCTGGCTGCAGTTATTTTAGGATGGTGCCAGGTTGCATCAGACTCCTGGAAGTGGTGTTATTTAACATGCTGTGCACAAGGGTGGGCACTGGCCAACATGGGGAGCCACGTTCTGAGGTTTTTAAAGTTATCCTGACTCTGATATTCCCTTGGGATAAGGAGGTTTGCTGGTTCAGATGTTTCTGCAGACACACAGGCAGGTTTAACATAAATGCAAAAAATCAGGGATAAGCCAGTAAAAATGTCTCACCATGGAGAAATTAAAATCAGAAGGAAAGGCATTAATGGGGAGGGCAGATTAGCCAGGCAGAGAAATGAGCAGATAATCAGGCAGACTCATTTCACCTCCAGCAGAGTGTGTGCATCCATCTGCAATGAACATTAAACATTAAAAAGGCTTTTGGGAAAGAGGTTGGAGGAGATCTTGAGAGGCAACATGCTTCTGTCAGAGCAAATGGAAATAACAGAGGAAGAGAGAAGTGTTGGGAATTCTGGGAGGATACCTACCTGCCTCAGATGAGCTCACCTCTTTCCTTCCTCTCCCTTTCCTCTTGTGGTATGACACTCAGGATTGGTCCCATTTAGCAGCTAAATAAAAGTACAGGGAAAAGAGGCACAGAGGGCAATTTTAGACTTTCTTCATACTTGGGTGGTGAATATCATTGGAAAGGTGATTTGTTACATCCTAATTTTTCAGATCACTACCGAATTCCCAATGTCAAGAGATGAAGGCAGTTGTGGTTGAAACACCAGCTTGAAAAGGCCAGACTTGTTTGGATTCCTATCTGCAATCGAACCTTGAATTTGAGTTTGGTAAAAGAAAGGCATCCCTCCAAGGTCTCAGAGGTTAACAGTTTGAAAGTATTATTTTCTTTGCAAAACAAAGTTCTTTTTAGTCAAAGACAGGTAAGCCAGACCTAGCTAGGAAGAACAGCTGTAGTCTGGGAATTAGGGAGAGTGAGACCTCACAGCCTCCCCCCTGTGAGAGCAGCGCTGGCCCGTGGGCACCACAGGCAGTCTGGTGGCACAGGCCACTGTGTGCCTTTCCTCTGACTTCACCCTGCTCTTCTGTGTGTGTTCTTCCCTAAAGCAACCACATAACATCCTGCAGAAGCGCCTGCTGGAGACAAATTTATCCAAGTTCCGAGGCAGCCGAGGCAGCTGGGCTCCCAAGGGTGATCTCTCTTCACAGACCAACAAGCTGAACCAAACCAAACTGGGCAGCTCGGGCAAAACTGAGGATGAAGAGCTCATAGTGGTGAGCTGCCAGGTAATAGTCCCTCCACAGCCTTTTGTGGGTTTTTTCTGCAGATTTTATTTCCCACAGTCTCAGGCTGTGCTTTTGTTCTCCATGTTTCCCAGTCAGGTTTGTGCTCCCACAGGACTGTCACAGCTCTGGGGATACACTCTCTCTGTAGCTCCAGGCTGCTGTGGCAGAGATGCCCACCAGGGAATCACAGAGAAAACTGGTGTGATGGGTGTCTTCCCTTACATATCAGGGCAGAGGGGATAGCTAAGCTGGGGCAGCATGCTGAAATGCTGGGGTATAATCCCATGGCAATTTTTGTGTTTTTTTTTTTCTGCAGATTTTATTTCCCACAGTCTCAGGCTGTGCTCTTGTTCTCCATGTTTCCCAGCTGGGTTTGTGCTCCCACAGCTCTGGGGATACACTCCCTCTGCAGCTCCAGACTGCTGTGGTGGAGATGCCCACCAGGGAATCACAGAGAAAACTGGTGTGATGGGTGTCTTCCCTTACACATCAGGGCAGAGGGGATAGCTAAACTGGGGCAGCATGCTGAAATGCTGGGGTATAATCCCATGGCAAATCCCTGCGCTCACAGACTGCTTGTTTTCCTCAAGTGCCATCACTATTTTCTTTGCTCAAGGACAGTTTCACATTTCTATTCCTTAGCCCCATGCTCATTTGTTTTTCCCACTCTCCACAGCATTCCCTCCTGCCTGGGCTGCCCCATCTGCTCTCTGCAGGGGCAAATGAGCCAGGAAGGGCTCAGGACCCCACGTGCATCTGAGCATGCAGGGGGGCAGGGATGAGCTGGCATGAGGAGAGCTCATGGGCACCAGAGTTCCTGGACACTCTGGTGCTCATCCTGCATCCCACACATCATTTCCCATCTCTTCTTGCTCTTGCAGTGTGCGGGGAAGGAGCTGAAGGCCGTGGTGGACACCGGCTCGCAGCACAACCTCATGTCATCTGCCTGCCTGGACAGGCTAGGGTAAATATCCAGCTGGATTTCTGTTCTGCAGGAGCATGGCACCTGGCAGCACAGGCAGCATCCTGGGGCTGGGGCTCTGCCCATGTCACTGATGGTCATTCTAGAAGGGCTGGGCAAGCCCCTGCCCCTCCTGTTACAACCAAAAACTGCCCCAACCTTAAATGGCAGGGAGGTGGGATGGAGTAGGGTGCCACCCTACTCACCTCTGAGGGAATCCCATCAGAGGGTTGGATGCATTTGTATTTTTTCACTGCCTGCTTGTCACTCAGTGCCTCATGAAACAACAGAACCTTCCCCAGCCTTCTGTGTCCCCAGGGCAGCCCAGCCCAGCTCCTGTAGGCTCCCGTGGCAGGGCAGGGACCAAGCTGCTGAACATGCCCCCAGCCTGCTGGCCCAGGAATGTATTTACATTTTCCAATGTAAAGAAGCTGTGTTCTCAGAACTGGGTGTCTGATGCTGCTCCCAATTACAAATTTCTCCTGGTTGAAAGAAAAGGAAAGGCATTTAGGGATTAGAGGTGACTGACAGCCATTTGCAGCAAAACTCTCTGTCATCTCTGAGGAACAGGACGGGCATCAGTTCACAGGATATCAAGGAGGTTTTGGCAGTTTGTTCCCATGGAGTCATTGCTTTTTGCAGCTAACTTGCAACAATTATGAAAAAAAAAATTACCCCTGCTCACTGAGCACTACTGCACGGCCCTGACTGAATGGTGCCTGTTCCTGCCCTAACATTAATTACCTCATTGCACAACAGTGCTCAGTGACTGGAAGGTGGCTGTGCTTAATACAACCTTGTCACAACCTGTGGAGCAGCTCAGGCAAGCTCAGGATGGCCACACGATGGCATTTGGAGGCATTTCATGCTCTGGGACAGTTCCTCTGCTCCCTGTGTTACATGTGTCCAGTGCAGTTCTTGCTCTGCTGCAGCAGCCCTGTCCTTCAAAAAGCACTGAAGAAAGAGGTCAGAGCCTGTTTTTTCTGCTGCCCAGGTCTCGGGGCACCTGATGCCTCAAAGCAGCACTTGTGTCTCTGACGCTCAGGCTCAATTCCTCCTTTCTTTTTCAAAATTTTTTTTGTGTCTTGTCATGATGCCAGTGACTCTCTCCCCCTCACCCTGAGGAAAGCAGTGGAGTAGGCTCACAGCTTGCCAGCATGAGAAATCCCCTGTGGAGCTGTAGGAGGTGCAGGAGGCGGCCAAGGAACTCATGAACTTCTGGTTGATTCAGAAGTTGATTCAGTGTTCCTGCTGATTTTTAAGGCCAGACTCCAAGAAAGCAGCAGAGGGGATCCAGCTCCTTTTCCCTGCCACCCCTCACAGTCCTTGCACCTTGCTAAAGGGTGTGGGCAATGCTCACCTCAGTCCTGGAGCCTCTGAGGGGGCTGGCCCCCAGGACAGATGGACAGACAGACACGCACAAGCACTGCTGCAATGCGGCTCAGCAGAAAGCTACCTCAAATAGCTGAAACTTGATCTGGCTTTTATCTGAGAGAGAGATCAGCGCCTCAAACGGCCTTTCCATTAGATTCTTGCTCGGTTTAAAAGAGAAACTGAAGCTAAATATTTAATTAGTATTGTCAGACTGCTTCAAAGGGTCTAGATAGAAACTGTACCCGAGGCATCTCTGACACCCTTTTTTCTTTTCTTTGGGCTGAATGTGATTGATCTGTCCCCATTTCCTCAGAACAAAGCCAGCAGCAGCAGCTAACAAACATGGATTGGGCCACCCTGGATGTGAGCCATGTTTGGCATGGAGAAAAGGGGACCCAGGGGGTGCCTTATTGCTCTCTACAACTGCCCAAAAGGATGCTCAAGTGAGGTACTGAGTGACAGGACCAGAGGAAATGGTTTCAGGTTGTGTCATGTGAGGTTTAGTGTGGGTATCAGGAAAAATTTCTTCCCTGCAAGGGTGGTCAGGCCTTGGAAGAAGCTGCTTAGTGAAGTGGTGGCACCACCCTGCCTGGAAGTGCTCAAAAGATGTGTGGGTGTGGCACCTGAGGACACAGCTGGGCTCGATGACCTTAGAGGTCTGTTCCAACCTCAGCATCTCTATGATGCCATGGGGACACAGTGTCAGCTCCACTCGAGGAAGCTGGAGTGAGCTAACCCTTCCTCACACCCACACTGCATTAGAAGCAATTCTGTATTCCCCATGTCTCAGGAAAATGTAGGAAAAAAGATTCCCCTGCTAAAACAAAAATGCAGCACAGAACTGTGCTTGGGCAGCTCTGTGGGTCATGCTGTGATCTGCTGGCTGCCTGCAGAGCAGCCACACAGAACCTGCCAGGGAAGCAGCTTTCCAACAACAGCAAATGAGCAAGCTAAGAGCACTTCAGCTGTAAGCACCCTCCAAACACCAACTGCTCCTTGCTGCAGCAGCCAAGCCATGGCCATTTGATGTTAGGAGTGTTCTCAATGCCCACAGGTTAAAGGAGCATCTCAAAGCACTCCCTGTGGAAGAGGAGCTGGTTTCCTTGCCCAACAAGGTGAAAGCCATCGGGCAGATCGAGTGTCTGTCCCTCACGGTGGGAGCCGTCCCCGTGGAGTGCGCTGCCCTCGTCGTGGGTGAGTGCACAGCCCTCTGCTCCTCCACCCTGGGCTGGGGTCTGCTTCCTCTCACCCCAGCAGGAAAACAGAGCTTTAGGAAGATGTTAAAATTAAACAAAAAAATTAAAATTCTTGTTTGGCCCCCCAGAGGGAAGGGGGAGGATGTGTTCACAAGCTTGGCTTTGCCATGCTGATGGAGAAACCACTGCAGGCACATCTGCCTGCCCTCCTGTGCCCTCCTGTTCTCCTTTGAGTCAGTCCCTTTATAAACAGGGTTTTGTTTAGCAGAGCAACCCCGATGGAATCACTGACAAAAAGCCCAGGAGGGCATTTTGAATGTATAAATCTGAAATGTCCTGTTTTTTTCAGAAGACATCGACCAACCCTTTTCCTTTGGGCTGCAGACACTGAAGTCTCTGAAGGTAGGAGTTTTCCAGCAGGATGCTGATGGGGGGAGCTGGAACCACTCTAACTTGCAGTTTTCCCTCTTACCTAAAGTCATTTATTCTCTACAGTGTGTCATAAACATGGAGAAGCACCACCTGGTTCTGGGGCAGATGGACAGGGAAGAAATCCCATTTGTGGGCGTTGACAGTGCTGAGGCAGGAGAGCAGTAAGTCTGGGGAGGTGAGCTGCATGTGCATCCCTCAGCCTGCTGCCAGTGCCCCCTGGCAGGGCCACACAGAGCTGCCAGACCCTTTACTGGAGGTGCATGAGAGGTCAATGGCCCTGGCAGAAATTGTTTGCATCAGCTCATCAAATTTTGAAAAGGAGTCCTGAGTTTTCGGCAGGCTTTGTCAGCTTTTACTGTTTTTTTTTTCCTAGTAAACATTGTGCATCAAAGCGGGTGTCTGACAAGACATGCACAGGGGAATGCCTTAGGAAATGTACTTTTTGGAGGTCACCAAAAAGACTCCTTGATGCTGCTTTGACAGCATTCGCAAACAATTTTTTGTCTGGAAAATATTTTTGAAGCAAGGCCAACAAACCCTCATAAATGTTTGAGAGAGAGATCCTGCCTGGAGATAACGGTGTTGCCACTTCCTCCCCATTACCCCAGCAGCCCTCCTGCCAGCTCCTCCTGGTGTCCCAGATTTTTCCAGCCTTATCACACTAAAGAAAGATAAATGTGTGCTGCACCTCTTAAATGTGTGTAGCCGTGGTGGCTGATTCTGCAGGCAGGACAAATCCTTCCTCCCAGGCACTGCACGGGGAGCCACGCAGGAACCCAGGCTGGGCTCCCTGTCTCCTTTGAAACAGAGATGGACAAGCACAGTGCGGCTCTGTTACCACTGCACTGATAAATTATTTCTTAGAACTGCTTTCAAGGCCAAATTATGATTTTTTTTTTTTCCATGAAAAGCACCTGTTTTACTAAATGTCTTTTCCTTCCAGTTTCAGCAGCTTGGAGGCATAAAGAGAAATTGAAACACCATCCCCACGCAGGAGCTTGATATCAAAGAAATCCTGTGCAGCTGTTCCAGATGAAACAGCAACGTGCTGCTTTGAAAACATTTATACTAGGCTACAGCTTGAGTAGAGCTAAATGAAATCCTGTTTGTAGCCAGTAATTTAGAGATATTGTCATGTTTATCTATGGGTTTTAAGAAACAAATGTGTTCTTATTTTCTGGACTTTTCTATATTGTGTCCTCTTTATTACAAACAGTTGGGAAAACCTTATAAATTTCTTCTGATCAGAAAAATACTTTTTATAGTGGCCTCATATGAGTAATTATACTTAGCTGAGATTAGAGGCTATCAGAATGAGATTTTTATTAATGATTTTTCCAGGGGCTAAGCATTTATATTCACTTAATTGATATTGCCACATTCAAATGGCCATTACCAGGAAGTTACTCAGAGTAAAATAACAATGTTAATACCAGCTAGGAATTATAGCTCATCCTGTTAGCATAGTATTGTTGCCACGTAATTATGGATGCAACTGCTGGCTTGATGACAAAGAGCAATTGCAGAATTATTAATGGTTACAGGCTTCTCTGCAGTGGCGTGGCAGAAGCACAGGGACAGGGTCTGGGAAGGCTCCCAGGGTGATCTCCCAGTGTGGGGTTGGCACCAGTGCTGGGGCTCAAAACCCTCTGAGCAGGGATCCTCTGGGCAAGTCTTGGCTGCCTTCCTGTGGGGGTAGTCAAGTAAATCAATCATTACACGGGGCCAAAAAGCAACAAAGGAGCACAGAGGTGTGCTGTCTGGAAAGCAGCAGATGCAGTGCCCTTGGCTGTCCCTGCCACCAGGAGCTGTGCCTCTCCCTGCCCACCCAGCAGGGAGAGTGAAGCCCCTGCAGCACCCCTAATTGTATTTGTGGGGTTCCCAGACGAAGTGAGGAATGATGAATCTGACACCATGTTCTCAGAAGGCCAATTTATTATTTTATCTATGTTACATTAAAGAATACTAAGCTCAACTATACTAAAGAATACCGAAAAGATACAGACAGAAAGCTAAAAGAAACTAATGAAACTCGTGACTCTCCAGAGTCCAACACAGCTTGGCCATCATTGGCCAATAAGTCAAAACAATTCACATGAAACCAATGAAACAATCACCTGTTGGAAAACAACCTCCAAACACATTCCACAGGAGCAAAACACAGGAGAAGCAAATCAGATAATTATTGTTTTCCTTTTTCTCTGAGGCTTCTCAGCTTCCCAGCTGAGCAAAATCCTGGGAGAAGGGATTTTTCCAGAAAACATGACTGTGACATGCCCGGCTGGTGCAGGTTATTGACTCCAGCTGCACTGCAGTGCTGCTGCCAGAAATGCCATGTTTTTTATACCTATCTACAAATCGCTTGGGTTCTCAAGTGCAACCCCTGATGACGCTCAGGGGAGGTGGGAGTTTTTGCCAGGAGAAGCACTTCATTTGGTGTCACTGCCCTGGAGCAGCAGGGTTGCTGCTTCCCCTGCCACACGGTATTGCCTGGGGGAGCCTGGCCTCACAAAAGCAGCTTTTTATGTTTTCAAAACCTGCTGGGAATGAGTCGCTGTCATCCGCTGAAGAGGCATCTTTAAAATTCAGAATAACCTGCTTGTGATGATGTGAACTGCTGATGGCCAGTCCTGCTGGATCCTTAAGGGATGCATTGTGCTGCTCTGGCAGCTCTGACTTACCAAAAGCGCTTTGGCCCCGGATCAGCCGCAAGCACCGCCGGCATTCCCGGCATCCTCTTGATGGTTCTGGCTGAGAATCAGAAGGTTCTGTCATCTCATGGCCTTTGGCAGCCAGGCTCCTGCCAGCTGATCCAGTGTGTGCCCACCCTGCCATCCCATGCCTGCCAGAGCATCTCAGCTGGAGTTTTATCTCCTGCAGTGGGTTTGAACCTCTTTTCCATATTGCGTCTATCCAGCAAACCTGAACTATCTGTATTTTGAGCTATTTTCTATTTTGGTGATAAGTTTCAGTGCTTTCTCTACATACAGTATTTTATATAATACAGCTATAAATATAAAAATATATATATATTTACAGGGTTGGGCTGCCCAGGGTAGTCCCACTGATGTGTTGTAGAAATATTTCACTAAATATTAAATATATTTGATTATTTTATATGCTATGAGTTTGGTATTTTGGTACTTTTTTCTTTCTGTGCATATTACTGTGCTAAATGTCAAATTAAATCTAAATAAAGTTACACCATTATCGCTGTTTATTTGCTTGTGTGCTAGATAGGCTGGTTTGGTTTTTTTGTTTTCAGTGCATGTCTCCGTTAAGAAAAGGATTTGTTTTATTCTTAGATCTGTTGGGGCTCTACAGTGCTTTTGGAAATGCTGTTGGGAATTGCCATTGAACTGAGGGAGAGTGGCATTTGGGATGAATTAACCAGGGCAGGTTAAAAGGCACACAGCACTTGGGCTAAAAGGTGAGCACTTCTCAACCTTCTGTGGCCATGGCTGTCCCTCCCGAGGGAGGAATGAGATCTATGAGATCCTGCTGCTTCCAGGTTTACCCTTTGGACAGCTGTTTAGGTGTTTATGCTGTGTTCAGCTAGCTTGCAGGATGGATATGAGAGTCCTTTGTGAACTCTGGAAAGCTGGGAAAAGAAACAACATGAGAGAACACGAGAGGTGAGGCATGAATACAACAGCTATGTGACCACAGGCAGAGGTCAGGGTCTTCCCCCAAAGCTTTGAGTCCAGATTTAGGGACTCCTGTCTCTGCCTGGATGGGCTTTAGGATGCTTCAGCAGCAGTTGAGTTCTGTCTTACTGATGAGAAATTATCCTTTCACCCACTCCAAGTCCCACAGCAATAACTTTTGGTGGAGCAGGAATATTCCACACCCAGTGAAATTGGTCCTCCTCAATGCTGGACTGGTATTTTCTCTGAGCATGGAAAGAAACCAGGCTCCAGAAATAAAATGGAGGAAAAAATGAGAAGAATCAATGTACAGGCAAAAATAGTGTCTCATGCTTCCTGGAGCTGCTACAGGATTCTGGATTTATTCATGGTGCTAGAGAGCAGAGTCCCAGCACACACAAACAGAACATCAATGGGCAAAATTCCATCCTTTCTGCACAGTGGGGCTAGCTCTGGACTGGGGGCCCTTCAGAGGTGGCTCCTGTGAACAGGATAAGACAGGAGAGCTGCTATGGGAGACAGGCATTCACCTCAGTCTAGAGGGATTATAGAATAGGAGAAGTGATATCAGATCTCTGTGTCAAGCACTTGCATGGTCACAGGGCTAAATGGTACAGCAGCTGAGTGATGCAGACCAGCTCCATAAGCCCTGGGTGCCTGCTCCTGCTCCTCTTCAGCAGAGGTGTGTGCCTGTGCCCCTCTGGCAGCCTCTCCCTGGCATAGGTTTGCAGGAAGGCCTTGCAACCAAGGGACCTTGGCAGGAGGCAGGGGCAGAGAAGAGGCAATGCCTGCAGCCATGTGGGACGAGGAGGACTCAGGAGATAAAGACACAGCTGTAAGAGGACATTATGAGAAGCCTCTGGGGTGGGAGAGGGTTTTGTTGAATGTTTTACTCAGCTGGTTAATGTCACCATGCTGCACACAAACACCTCACAGGTGAGGCGAAGCACAATCCCCTTCCCAAGCAGCCTCAGGGAAAGTGAGCCAGCTGCTCCTTGGCCAAAGCACTGTCCCTTGTGCTCATGTGGTCAGCAGAATGGGGTGGGACAGAGTGCCTCTGCTCCCTCCAAAGACATCTTGTCTTTGTTTTGGTCATGCTTAAAGCCAAGACAAAGCACTCAAAGAAAAAGACGTTAAACAGAACCCTGGTGAGCCCATTGCAGAGCTTCAAAAGCTGGTGGAACATGCAGGATCTTGATGCTTGGGCCCTTGCAATTAAGATGGCCCATGTGGGCAAGGCATCAACACTTGCTGAAAATTTTAGAGACCTGGAGATCCGGTGGAGAGTGGCTGTCAGGCTCCCAACCCATGTCATTGCAAGTGATGCAGCCGAGGGCATGTGGGCAGGCAGCAACAGAGGAGGAGCACCCTGGGGCTGCAGAGAGGGGGTCACCCCCCAACCCCACCTCCTTCCACCACATTTGCTACTAAACTCCTTCTGGGCTGGCCACTCTGCAGTGGAAAGTCAGAGGCCATTACCAGGAGCAGCCCTACAGCCATCACTTACATGTACTTTGGGTCCTGCTGAGATCCACTAACATTTGCTCATCACCAGCAGGGCAGCTGACTAGATGAGAGCTGCTGGGGTGTCTCTTCACAGTTATCTCCAGGGTAATCTGTTATCTAATGGCTCTCCAGGGAGGTTGTTTTTACAGGCTTTTCTATTACTGATGATGCAGTGATGCTCAACATGTTGTGAAAACAAATCTAATTCTTATGTCTCAGAAGCAAATAACTTGATGACTTATTTCTATATAAACATGTGTCTTGGGGCTGTATATTGCTGGGTTTATTTTATGGGACAAACATCAGCTGAGGCCTGTATTGCTTTTTCAGCTGCTGCTTAATAGATGGAGGTAAAGTATCAGGTTTCCATTAACTGAAAGTCTGCTGCTTTTCCTAAGCTGAGATTCCTCTAGTTTCTCTTTTCCATGGGCCCTGCACTGCTGGCAATAGCTCAGCCATGTGCTGGTCTCCTCCTCCTCCTCTGTTAACAACCACATGGCTGAGGAGAGGCTGCAGGCTCTGGAGATGACACTGCAGGTATCAGTGACATTTCACCAGAGATGCTTTGCTGCAAAGGCAATTGATTTAATGATTTTGTTACTAGAGCGCTGCTGCAACCACTTCCCCGGGATGAGATCTCATCACTCCCAAAGTGGGTGAGAAGACAGTCGACAGCCTAAAAATATAGTGAGTTTAGGAATAACAGGAAGCCATGGCAGCAGGAGAACTAGCTGGGGAGAAAGCTGCAGGGACTTTCTCTCCTGCTTTTGGCTGTGGTGGGATCGATGGATGCCCGGAGCTCGTGGCTGCCCCCGCAGGAAGATGCAGTTGGATTCTCCAGAAAAGCACCTTGGCTCACTCAACGAGAGGTGGTGTAAAGTCATGGCTCTTTAAACCTAATCCTGCCCAGAACCCAGACGCAGGTGGGGGATCTGCAGAAGGTGGGGAGCTCTTAGTGCTGTTTCAGCCTGTTGTGTTCACAAGCCCTCTGAAAAGAGAGAGATGTAGCTTTCTTAGATTTCTCCTGAGAGATGCTGTGAGGGAAGCAGAGAAAAGAATTATCAAAACAATTCTTATCTCATTTGCTGCTCCTGTGTTTGTGCCCATGTGGAATGTGTTCTGGAGATTGTTTACCCGAGGTGATTGCTTGATTGGATTCTGGTGATGGTGTTTTGGATTCATTGACCAATTGGAACCATGTGTGTGTGTTGAGACTCTCCGGCAGAGAGTCACGGGTTTTCTAGTTAGTTAGTGATAGTCCTTGTTAGTGTAATATAGTTATAGTATCATATAGTATAATAAAGTAATTAATTAGCCTTCTGATGTCATGGAGCTCTGCACATCATTCTTCCTGCCCGTCGGGCATCACAACACCGATATCAGCCCCTTGTGCCTCCACCTGCTCCCTCTGGACAGTGCCAGGGCCAGCACTGATTTACTGCTCAGCACCTCTCACCTCTCTGGGAGACCAGGAGAAACAACCTTGTCCCTCCGGTGGAGCTGCTGCAATTGAGGAAACCACTGCCCAACACCTCGAGGTGCCTCTGGGGTTTCACTGCCTGTGGGGCAGGCACAGCCCCTGTGCTCTGGAACCCAGCCAGAGCACAGGGACCATGCTGGGGGCCATGGGCTCTGCTGTCCCCATGCTCTGGCTGGCAGCAGCCCCACAGGTGGCACGGGGGCTGCAGAGAGCCAGTGCCCTGCCTGGTTCTCCTACCAAGGGATGAAGCACTAAGAGTGGACTGCCAGCAAGACTGGGGAAGGAGACCAGGAGCCAGCCATCTAAAAACTCTCTCTGCTGTAAGGAGAAGGTAGGAGGGTCAAGTACCTCTGTACCTGCAACCCAGGGAGGCACAGCTGGCCATGGAATTTTCCAGGTGTTGCCAGCTGGGAAGCATCTCAATGGCAATGCTGGCAAAGGCAGCATTGAAAAATGCTGTGTAAGGGAAGGAACAATATTGAGATCTCAGTGAGAAAAACCAATATATTTTAAAGTGTTGCTATAAATCTCAGTCCTCTGTTTCTCCACAAACAAAATCACATGGAGAGATCAGGAGAGTGATCAGGCACTTGACAGATTCAAAACATACTGAGTCATGGAGAACAGGGGCAAAGAGAAACTGTGCAACACCAGACGGCACTGGCTATTAATTTGAAAATAAAAATGTAATTGGGAGTTAATCATTGGTCTTTCCTAGATCACAAAACAAAAACCATTTCAAAATCCCTGGGTGGAAGACCAAGCCCAGGATGAATGAGTTGCAGCCCAGTGACCTGGTTTTATCCAGGCCAGTAGTGATCAGGACAGATAAAAATGCTCAGGACTTTGCCACTAGCCTTTTTGATTGCTGGTGGGGAAGTAGAAAACCCAAAATTGGGCAAAATGTGGCTTGGAGCTGGAGTAACAAAGAAACCGGGCCTCAACAGTGCAGTCATATGAGAATCCAGGGAAATGGGTCTGCTGTGAGAGGTGCCCTGGGAAGCCTGTTCAGCCTTCTGGTTTGGCAGGCTTGGAGAGGAAATCTGTGGATTTTAAGCTCCTACTCACAGAGAGCTTCTCTACTGAGAGCATCGTGATGCTTCTTGGTTTAGACTTCAATGGCATTTTTCAGACTGACTTTTAAGCCTAACAGAAGGGGAAATGGGCTCTTGTTCCTTCAGGAGATGACAGTGTATTTTTAAAAACAATTTATGCATGAGGACTAATTAACTTGGCATTTACAGCTTAGCATTCTCCTGGTTAAATCTGCTCCAACTGAGACCACATTTTGTTGCAAGAAAACTTCTGCCTGGCATTTCCTTCCTTCCTTCCCCCTGCTGCTTCATATGCTGTGACATTAAGGTCATGAGTCACCTTCCAATGTCCTGTTCAGTGACTTCTAATGAAGGAGTGAGTAGAGTGAAGATTTCAGGTTTGGCTGAGCCATGTCTCAGTGGGGACATCTCTCTCATGGTTCTGGTCAATGTTTTAACAACAAGAAAGTTCCTACTGGGTTCACCTGTACCTATCCAGAGGGCATCTGGGCACAGTGGCAGCTGCAGAAAAGCTACTTGGAGAAAGCTCCAGCACAATGAATCCCTGCAGTCTGTGCAAAGGGAGTTAATAGGATGCTCTCATTCACAAATTGTATTAGAAGACACTGATGACAATGAGCCCACATCAGCTGCTCACGCTGCACTTCCGCTCTCTGCCATCCCAAATCAAGTTAAGGTGATCTAGGTGTGCCTCTTACTGCTTCAGGAGGAAAATGTGTCCTGTTTGCTCCTGGGGGGTCACAGGTAACCAACACAGCAGAGGCCAGGCACAGCAAAGGCACAGCCCCATCCCTGGCACTGTGAACTGCCACGCTGGCAGGGAGGTCAGTGGGTCAGTCCCAAGGGCCAACCCCCAAAGCCCAGCTTCAGGAGAGAAGCTCTCAGGGCTCTGCAGGACAGGATGAAGGGATAACATGCACCAGCCTTAAGACTGGTTTGTGGGAGGGCTGCAGGTCTACATCACGATGTGCTCATGTGAAAACACAAACCTTGAGTTTCTCTCACTCTTTTAGATTCTTTTATCTTGATTTTTAAGCCTGAACTGACAAATCTTTGCCCAGCAAGGGCAGTTATTCTTCTTCCCTATAATTCCTACAATATGAAACTATAAACATAAGTGGTGGTGGTGGGTAAACAACCAGATCCAAAGGACACAAACACAAGTCCCAAACAAAACCCTCAGTTGCTGTAAAGCTCAGAAGCTGTAACCAGGGGTCCAGTGTGTTAAACATAATACAAATGGAAGGGACTCAGTGTCCAGATTTTGAGGCAGATGAGTTAAAATTAGGGCAACTTGGAGGATGCAAAGGAGAGGCAGGATGGCAAAAGGAAGGACACGAGGTTTTGGCAGAATTAACTGTGTGCTAAAATAATCCTTAGGAGACTGGTATTAGTAACCAACTCTCCTTTGCATGGAATATGCTGCTCACCCATCACAGCTGCATTTAGGTGTAGGAGCAGCCTCCCAGGGAGCACTGCTCAGAATGGAGGGAAGCCTCCAGGTAAGTCCAACTCTATGTGAGGAAAAGCAAGGCTGTGTATTTAGTTGAATCACCTGCATGCACTTACTGACCTCCCCAGAGATCCTGGCTGCTCACCAGAACTAAGCCACAGGCTGGCCCAAATGGCTTGCAAAGAAAGCCACCCAACTCTCTTTGAATAAGGCCCCAGATTTTAATCTTTTAATTGTTGCAGCAAATCTCTTTTCTGCCCTTGAGCTGAAAGAAGTGGGTGCTCTTGTCAGGCAGAGAACAACCAGAAGCACATCTCAGAAGCACACGATGTACTGAACTCTCTGGAGACTGCTAATGATGTTTGATTAATTTTCATTATCAGTGTGAGCAAGCTTTGAGCTCTCTCTGCATCTGTCTTATTTAGAGTTGTCTTTTCTTTCTTAGTTAAATAGCAGCTTCTACAGACAGTGATCTAATTGTTCCTCAGCACCTGCTTGAAGCCATCCAAGTTAAGGATGGACATTGTGTAATTTGCAGCACATGTGATTTGGTCTTTAAGGCTCAGATCAAATAAAATGGAATAGCAAATGAGGCAGTAACTGAGTTAGGGGGAAGGTACTGTGCAGGCTGATGCTGGGGTCACAGAAATGCTTGGGCTGGACAACAATGACAATGGAACAAATCAAAACACGTGTGTTGTGGCCACCCAGCAGCAGGATGAACAGCCTTCCAGTGGATATCCTGAACTCAGTAACCCACAGAATTTTCTGTCTACCAGGGCAACTGGCTTTTGTAGTGGATTTTATTCTGAGTCTTTGCTGTGTTTCAGAACTCTTCAGCCAGGGCCCAGTGAGTTCAGGTGCTGCTGTTAAGTGCCCAGGATGAGCTGTGTGCTGTCACCTGTGGGCCTGTTACCACCCTCAGGTGCAGTGCAGGGAGTCCCTGTCACTCACACCTCCCAAAACTTGTCCTGGGTATGGCCATGGCCATGCCAGGACAGAGAACTTCATGGTCACAGAGCTGTTCATGTGGCAGGAAGGGGATAGATAACTCTATCAGCACTCAGCTGCAAGCTCCTCTCAGTTGTGCAGTCCTGGAGGAGTCCTTTTGTGGGTCCTTTGGTGAGCCCTAGTAAGGATCTCAGCTATCTTTTGGTTATCAAGCCTAATTTTGATTCCCTCCTAGCCAGATAACGACATGCATGTTGAGGCAAATATGGAGCAATTCGGAGTGGTACAGCCAAGCCACAGACTGAGCTCTCAGTCTGCATATGAAAGCTTATGATCTGTACAGTAAGAAAAGTTTGGTTTTTTTTTTTAAATATCATCCTCTACCTCACTACAGCATAACACTGGACTGGAAGGCAGGAAAACTTATCCTACTTTCTTCCACCCAGCTTCAATGCCCTGAACTTATCTTTATGCTCCATATTTCTCATCTGCTCCTGCTCATTTGCCTGGCTTGATCAGTCTCAAAGTTTTGCTCATGGAATGCCAGAAGGCACCCAGCTTTTGGACGACTGGCAGGATAAGGCTCAGCCCCAAGAAAAGCAGATTGTTTTGTTCAGGACATTAGTCCAAGCAACTATTTGCCATCTACTACACGAAATCGAGTTACGTGAAGTGCTGTTAGATATTAATTCACTTCAGCACGCAAGGAGAAGCAGCACTAATGAAGAAAAGAATATAGTCCTGGAGCCAAGCCACAAGTCATTCCTGATTACATTCCCGAGGAGCAGCGTGCAGCAGGAATGGCAAACCAAACTCAGCCTTTCTCCCTGTGTCTGGGTGCTGGGGAGCTTAATACCTCTGCTCTGACGATCAAAACACCATTTGCTATTTCAAACAGATCTTTCCTCCTCGGAAAAAGCTTTTGGCAATTAAAGGAGGAGGCGTTGTCTGGGTTGAAAGCCGGAGCCTGGGCACGCTGTCGGGCGCGATGAGGCAGTCAGGGGGAAGCTGGCAGGAGCTGCTTTGCAGGGTGTTGTCATGGGAACAGAGCAAGTAGGGCAGGAGCTGCTCCGCATCCTCCTCCCAGGCGCGGTGGCACAAAATCGATGCTGTTTGCAGCGCCGGCACAGCCAGCTCTCTGGTTGTCTTCAGCAGGGATTGAACCTGAATGAAATCTCTGGCAAAGGGCAGAATCTCCCTTTGTGAGGAAGTGGTGTCACTCCTGATTTGAGTGGAAGACTTTGGTGCACGTTTTAGCTGCATCCATAATGGTCAGTGGCAGCAGACAAAGGGTTGACCTTGGTCAGCGAGTGCATCACCACGGTGGGCAAACTCAGAATATAAAATATTGCTATAATGTCAATGTTTGTGGTCATCTGAAGTACCAGACTCACCTTGCACAATGCTGCCTTTGAATGCAGCTTACTTCCTCTGTGCAGGTCTGTGTATGTGGAATTGTTGGAATTTTCTTTATGAGAAATACTTTGTGTGATGCTGTGGTTGCTAGGGACAAACAATGGTAGTGAACGGTTTCCTGGATAAAGAAGAATGCAGAGATTCCTGCTCTTTCAATTATTAGGAATATGTAAATAAAAGGAAAAGAATACTGTTAATGTGGCACCAGTGGAAGCAGAATTAAATGCAATATGTAAGAAAAGATCTGACAAAGGATGAAAATGCTAACAGAAAAAAAGAGCAAAATGTAATTCATTGCCTCCAAGATTTCATTTTACCCAGGTCTGCTGGCAAAGGAAAGGTCTCCTAATTAAAGCAGGCATCTGCAGGGTGACTGCATTGCTGCCACTGACCCAGACCAGCAAGGTGCTGAGTGAACACTCCTCATTTCCTATCCACAGCCAAGTGTGAATGAGGGGCCCGCAGCTGTCCAGGGCTTGCTTGATAGACGCTTTGGAAAAGTGACCAAAATAGCAGGCAAAGGAAGAAAATGGAGCCAGTGCATGGAGGGCTTCCCAGTTTGCTTGTTGAGGTCATTGAAAGCCCCCTCTGCTTAGCAACAAGTTTGCTGCAAGTAATGATAAACTTAGTCACAAAAAAGCTTGGAGTTGTATCATAAACATAACCTTACCTTGCCTTTAACCTCCCTCTCCCTGGCTCTGGTGTTTCCATGCAGGCTGCAGCCAAGGCTGGAGTGAAATGGCTGGCACTGGGCAGAGCACATTCTGGATGCACAGTGACTTTATTCTAGTGCTGATCCCTTTGAACATAAAACAGGAAGCATGAATGTATTAGAGCAATCCTCGTGGATTACTCTGTATGAGGAAGAAACTGTGGTTCCTTTTTGGGCATGTTTGCCTCCGTGCCTCTAGCAAAAGCTCTCTGGGGTGGAACAAGGAGCAGCAAAGTGTGTGGAGCAGCACTGACCTTGTCTCCCCCAGGAGCAATACATGCAGGGCATCTGAGGTCTTGCTGGGTCAGGGCTGGCAGAGGCTATTTATAAGTTTTGGATTAAACAAACAAATGCAGAAGCTGTTATTTGTGCTGCAAGGGATGAAGCCAGAGTTGTGGACTTAGAGATTGTGGTTAAAGAGCTGAAGCCCCTGTCTCAGCTACAAGCTGCTGTTCCTTGTATTTGCAGCATTGTCCTTTGTTGAAGGAAGGGGAATGCAGCAGGAATTGCACTGATAAGGGCATGACATATGTCACAAATTGAAAACATACACAGAACAGGGCATTCTCTCCATGTGTGTGATGTGGGGACTCAGCTGCTGCAGTGTGTAAGAGCCCTGACTGACCTTGCATTAGCAGAGAGGGACCTTGAACTCTTACAGCCTGCAGAAAAGTCAGGAGTGGATTCACTGAGACAGAAAGATAAAATAAATGCACGTCTCTTTCAGCACTTCCCTCCATTTGCTTCATATCATAAATATCAATACAAATATAGAAATACAGAGGTAAACAGTTTGCCCAGCCTGCCCTTTCCATATGCATGCATTTCTGCTGTGAAAGGCTTTATGTAACTCCTGACAGCAGATTGCAAAATAATGCCTCGGTTATGGAAGGAAGCCATGAGCCATTACATTGCATTACTCTAATGTAATGGGTCCCTGAGATGAACCAGATTTGGAGAGCTTGCTTTTATTGCAAACCTTGTACCCCATCCAGCCCACTGGCACTGATTTCTCTGTTTTCTCCAGGGATCAAAGACCACGAGGCCAGAATAGCAGCTAGACCGGAACTGAGCCACTGGGGTTTTGGCCCCAAACAGAAGCTCATGAGACAAAACTGCGCTGTTTATTTGAAGGGATGCAATTCCAGTGACAGAACTTCTTCAGGTGGATGCTTCTGACCAATCTGCTGAAAGGTGAATTTCTCATTAGCCTAGAGAACTGACATTGTAATAATTAATCTCTTCCTATGTTTCTTTGCTAAGTAAAGGCTGCTGTGACAAGTGCTGCCATCATTTTAATTTTTCAACTGAACGTAGGGAATAGACAAAAAAAGAATCTGTATTTACTTTGTTTTTCTCCTGTGCAAATGTCACACCACTTTCATGTTGGCAGTAAATGCAGAAATGCTGATTCAATCACTTATTTGCATAATCCCTTCAGATTTTTCTTTTATATCATTGTTGATAATGAAAAGATTTTCTCAGCTGGGAAAACAAAGAGAAGCAGGCAAGTTCTGAATGTGAATAGGGTGAAGTGACACAAAAAGATGGTAATTTGCATTAGTAAAAATGATCAGAATGTGGATGATTGAAATGATGGCAAATAGCATCTATCCCTACCTACCCTGAGGAACATCCACCCCGTGGCAGCTCAGCTGCAGCGTGTGGAGCAGCCCTATACGAATTGAGTCCAGTGTAATTAGCACAGAGCATGAAGGAACTTTGCAGGGAACCCTTTTAAAATACCCACATTCACATGTGAATCAGTGCAGCACAGGAAGGAGGAGCAGAGGCACAGCTCAGGGCACTGCTGGCTACAGAGACTGTGTGCATTTGGGAAGGCTCCTGCAACAGGGAAGGAAATGCAGGAGCTCGCTCTGCACACACAGTGCCTGGAAACATAGAGCTCTTGAGAAGCTATTTTTGTGAGATGACTGAGCAGGAAAGATGTGGCCCTGGAGCAGCTGCCCTGCCTAGAGATGCAGTCTGTGCTGTGTTTTTGTTGCACAGCCTCGGCTCTTGTTCCCAAAAGCCCGGCTCAGGCTGTGCCCAGCAGCTCAGGAGGATGCACCTACATGGCTGGGGGATACCAGGGCTGCCTCCTCCCCAGAGCCTCGGAGGCAGAGCCCTTGAATGACCAAAGACACTCCAGCAGCTCTTGGGGGCACTTGGTGTGTGAGGATTGCTAATGGAGACAAACATGAGTGCAAGTACCAAAGTGTCAAACCTGACACAGCACGCTCACAGCAAAATGCAAGGTTTAGCTTAGAGAGACCTAAGAGCTACAACTCTCAAACAAATCTTTTTATTAAAGCAGGGTGTGGGTTATTTTTAAAAAGCAAACTGGATGAGAGAGCTCAGCTCCATTAACTTGAAGAGGATTGGTCCAGTAAGGAGAGAGTTAGCAGTACAGGGAGCAGCCTGCTGCCACTGAAGCTCAGACTCTGATAATCCAGTGAGAGCTCTGGAAGATGAAACACATCTTCAGCCCTTCTGGAAGATTAGCAAGCTGGAAAGCAATTATAGTCACCACAGTGATTTAATAATTTCCTTAAAATCAAATTAGTATACATTTTTTAGCTGTCTCTCCCCTTTTAAAAAACTGTAGTTTAACAGTATTGCTTCTGATACTGGTGTGCTGACAAATACATTAACAATTTAATTGAAACAAAGCTGAAAAAAATCTAAATGTTAAGACAGAAACTCCCAGTGTTCTTTTCTTAATAATTCTTTCAGGAGCTTTGCTTACCTAATTAATTATTATTGTTTTCTAGGGGAAGAATGGACTCATCTTCTGGAAAATGTAACCTTTACCTCCTGCAGCACCAAGAACCTGTGGCCCACAAGATCCTGTTTCGTTTTTTTTTTTGGTGTTTCTGACTTTGAGGAAGCTCCAAGACTGGGCTTGAAGGTCCCAAAGGCTGTTCCAGCCACCTAAATAAAAGCACATTTATTACCTGTGCATCAGAACTCTCTGAGTGGATAACAAAAAGTTGAGTTTATCAGGCTCTCTTTTCCTACACCAAACTCTTCCAAAGGCAGTGATGCCTCTGAAACTGTGTATTGTTTACTTCAGCTCAAAATGTGATCTGTGTTTTTCTAAAGATTCAGCATGTTTTTCAACTAAGCAGTCAATCTGCCCATTGTAGACTGTGGCTGTGGGTGGTGGGGAAGACACAGAGCCACGTTCACATTTCAAAACACTTCCATTGCAGACCCAGCCATTAAACAGACAAATTGTTTGGCTCAGGCTGAAACCTGATGTACTCTCATTAAAGTCTGCTGGCAATTTTCCCTGAATTTTAAAGAAAGGTGTTTTGTGTTTCCATAGTAACTCCAGCTCCTTTCCTGAGCTGTCTGATGCACTGCTGGTATTACACAACCTATTGTATGAGGAGGGAGTGAAGAGCAGTGTGGAAAAGTCTACTGAATTTCAGGATTATGAAATTACAGCCACTGAGTGGGGGCTGGGGAGGGAGAGGGAAAACAGAGCAGCTTTTGGCCATGTTTTGTTACTTGGGAGTTCAGACAGAGAACCATGGAATTGTAGAATGGTTTTGGTTGGAAGGGACCTTGAAGATCCTCCTAGTCCCAATTCCCCTGCCATGGGACAGGACAACTTCTACTAGAGCAGGCTGCTCAGAGCCCCATCCAACCTGGCCTTGAGCACTGCCAGGGATGAGGCATCCACAGCTTGTCTGAACAACCTGTTCCAGCCTCTCAACACCTTCACAGTAAAGAATTTCTTCCTGATATCTCATCTAAACCTATTCTCAGTCTGAAGCCATCCCTTTGTCACTGCTCCTGTGAAGAGTCCCTCTCCACTTGTCGTGTAGGCTCCCTTCTGCTGCAGGAATGGCTGCAAGAAAGACAGAAGGAATGGAAAGGAGGAGAAGGAATAAGCAGGCTGAGCTACAGTGCCTGCTGCTCCTCTGTGGAGCTCTCAGAGGGGCTGAGATGAGCCCGAGCTGTTCCCCAGGCTGGGCTCAAACCTTTGCTCAGCAGTGCCAGGGTCCAGCCCTGGCAGGGCCAGGTGGGTTTGGGGTCCCTTGACAAGGAGGGAAAGTCATAGATGGCTTCATCTGCCACTCCTGGGGAGCACAGCTGGAAATGCTGCCTCTCACCAAGGCTGCCTGCCCTCTGCAAGAGGCAGATCACAGCTCCTGGGTGGAAATAATTAATCACCTGACAAACGAGGAACATTGCTGGATTGTAGGGATATCTTCTCAGAGAAACAGCTGTCTGTAAAACGCATGAAGATTTATATAACTGTGTGTCCAGAAGTGTAAAAAGTGGATTATGTGCTGCTCACACACCTCGTAGAGTGGTACATAATCACTTCTTGGATTAAACCCATTCCAGCAGGGCCAAGATCAGGGGAGCTATGGAGCAGTCAGCCCTACCTCTCTTTAAAAAAAGACATGTTGATATAAAGTGTGTCCAGAGAAGGGTAATATGGCTACTGAAAGGAAACAAGTCTTCAAAAATGTGTTTTATGAGGAGGGAGCTGGGTTTGTTTAGCCTGGAGGAGGCTGAGGGGAGAGTTTTTCACTCTTTACACCTGCCTGGATGGAGGCTGCAGGGAGGCGGGGGCTGGTCTCTCCTGCAGCGAGAGGACTCCCAGAAATGGCCTTAAGCTGAGACAGGGGATATTCAGTTTACAAACAAATTCTTTCGCTGTCAGCGTGGCCAGGCACTGCAATAGGTTGCCCAGGGAGGCGGCGGAGTCACCATCCCTGGAGATGTTCAAGGGGTTTCTGGATCTGGCTCTGCGTGACACGGTTTGGTGGTCACAGGGCTGCATCGGTGGTTGGACTGGACGACCTCGTAAGTCCCTTCCATCCCTGACGATCCCAGGAATATTTCCAGGAATATTTCTGTGCCGGCCGGCCCGGAACCATGGTGCGGCGCCGCCGTTCCCGCGGGGACGCGGCCACGCGCGGACGGCGCCTCACGTGAGGGCGGCGGCCGGCGGAAGTGATGGCGGCGGGGCCCCGGCGCGGCGGCGCCAAGGTGAGGGGTGGTCACGGTGGTGCTCCCGGTACCGGGCCCTCCCGCCGGCCGCTCGGCTCCCGCGGGTGGTTCCGCCTTCCCGGCCCCGCGGCTGCAGGGGAAGGCCGGAGCCGGTGGTTTCGTGCGGGCGCTGCCCTGCCGCGCCCGGCGGAGGAGCGGGGCCTGCCCCGGTCCCCGCGCTCCCCGGCAGCTCGCAGCTGTCGATGTCGCTCTGCCGCGGTGCCCGGGACACCGTCACGCACAGCTGCGAGCGGAGCTGCCGGGGCTGGGCTCCGCTCGCTGCCCGGCTGAGTGCGAGCCCTCCCTGCCGCGGCCGAGGCGGGGACTGTCACGGCGGGCAGGGAGCAGCGGCTCTGCCTTTGGCTCTCCCCAAACACGCGTGGATGTTCTCCCTATTAATGGGAATCAGCGGCTTGACTCCTCCGCGGGGAGAGCAGCAGGTTTGGCGTGGGCTGGGGTACCCGGTGTGGGGTGGATTCTCTCTGCTCTCCTGAGACCCCCCCTGCACCCCGCTCTGGCTCCCCAGCACAGCCAGGACGTGGAGCTGCTGGAGCCAGTCCCAAGGAGGCCGTGGAAGGGATCCCAGGGCTGGAGCACCTCTGCTGTGGGGAAAGGCTGAGGGAATTGGGATTGTTTGGTCTGGAGAAGAGGTGACCTAATGCAGTACCTGAAACCCTTGCAGTACCTGAAACCTGTAAGAGAGATGGGGAAGAGCTGATTACATGGGCAGGTAGTGTCAGGACAAAGTTTTACACTGAAAGAGGGTAGGGTTAGGTTGGACATCAGGAAGAATGATGTCTTCTCTGTGATGAGGGTGGTGAGGCACTGGCTCAGGCTGCCCAGAGAAGCTGTGGGTGCCCTGAGCCTGGCAGTGTTCCAGGCAGCTTGGACAGGGCTTTGAGCAGCCTGGGATAGTGGGAGCTGTCCCTGCCTGTGGCAGGGGAGTTGGAACTGGGTGATCCCTTCCAGCCCAAAGCTTTCTGTGATTCTGTGCAGTGCAGTCAGGGTTTCCCAACTGACCTGTGCTCGGTGTTACTCTGCCTTGGCTGCTCAGTGTAGGAGTTCATTACCAATACTTGTTCACACATTCCTTTGTAATGCCACTAGAAATTGCCTTGAACTTTAGATAAGCCACTTTTATCCTTTGTCTCTTATTATTTGCTAAAATAAACTTAGCATTCTTTCATCCCTTTTAACCTCCTCACTTTGTCTGACAAGCAGCTGTCCTTGTAAGCTGAGCAGCTGAGTAATCAACATCAGCAATTTCTGCATGTGTGGTTTTTCTTGGAAAGAGGAATGAGCTCAAACTCCATTTTTTCCCCTCAAGAATGTGTTTCTATCTCAAACAGTAATGTTACTTGACAAATTGCTCTGCTCGCTTGGTAATTCTGAAGGGTTGTTCTTAAACTTGTAGGAAGTCCTGAGTAAGACTGTTCAGAGGTACTTGCAAGTTATTTGTGTTAAATATTTCCAGTCATATGTGAAGATAATATAAATTATATGAAATATAAATGTAATATAAATTATATAATAAGACTATTTGTTCTAAGTGTGTTGTTTGCTTCACTTCTAGAACTCTGAGGATGTCCGGTGTAAATGCATCTGCCCTCCTTACAAGGACCACTCAGGCCATATTTACAACAAAAATGTTTCACAGAAAGACTGGTGAGTGTGTGTGGCACATAGAAAATGATAATAAATAAATAATCTTACTGGTTAAAGCCTTGTTCTGTAGAGATTACATATGAATCTCCTGTGGTGGTGCCAGGACAAAGCAGAGCATTCCCATAACTTACTGGAGCTTTTCTTTCAGAAGTACTCCAGAATTCAGCTCTGGCAAGGGACAAGGCTTAATCCCTGTAGTTTTTGTCCTGTCTTCTCTTTTGGTTTGCTTGCTTGCATGTTTAATTGTTTATTTAGATTTGGGAGGGGCAGAAGGGAAGAAAGTGATGGGTTTTGAATCCAGTGACTTGGAATGGTGTAAAGGCAAGGGAGCACAAACCTGGAACTGGGGCTTGGGAGTATTGTGTTTGCTTGCTCTACTCTTGAAAACCAGCCCATCATTTAGGAACTGTTGTTTCTGGGCTTTGGTGAGGTTCCAGTAGATTTTGCCCTTTCTAGCAACTTGGAGAAGAAAAAATGCTGATATTAATATTTCTTATATTCTCAGTAAGAGACTTACTCGTGTACTTAACCAACATGCAAGATTTCTGCAGTACTTGGGCAGTGTGTTGATACAGTCTTTCAGTCACAGATTGCACAGATTGTGCCTGGCATGTAGTTTTGATTTTTGTAGCTTGGATGCTGCATTCTTCCACAGAGCAAAATGTAGCTCTGCTTTCACATAAATGAGACAAACAAACCCTCCACTCCCCTCCAGAGGCTGTGAGGTGGCACTCAGCAGTTGCAGCTGTGAAGATGAAGTACAGAGAAGACAGAAGAGATGAGCTGGTGCCTGGCTGAGTGTTTGCAGCATTTAGCCCAGTCAAGTGTTGGGTCCCAGGCTGCTGCTGTCACTTCAGGCCTTGTGTTTCACTACCTGCTGCTGCCTGTGCCAGCACTGAGGTTACCAGGAGAAAGGTGAATCAGGATTCTGGTTCTGTCAGTGCTCTGCAGGGGCCCCAGGGCTCTGAACTCTGAATAAGAGCCTGACTCAGCAGGAAGACCAGCATTATGTAAGTGGTTGATGGAAGCAGTTGTTTCATGGCAGCTGGGTTTTAATGCTGTGCTATAGACAGCCCATAATATTGTCAACCACACTTTTGCACAGGGGACTGACTTATGTTTGGTAATCTTTTAAGTCAAATGCTCTTTATTCACTATCCTGCTGCTTAGAGAAACAATCCATCTGACTTCCTTTTTTCCCCCCAATGTCTGTACCTTGTGATGACAAGAAAAAAGAAATACAGTTCATGAATGTCAGAGAGAGGCTAATCTCCCTTCAGACAGTGAAAGGATGGAATAAGGCTCTTCTGAGTATGGTGAAGAAAGAAGGGGAATTAGTAGCTGAAATTTACTTTTATCCTTAATGTCAGTGTCAAATGATGCATTGTGCTGGATTCATATCCTTGGATTTGTTCTGCTAAAAGCTTTAATACCTTCTCTGAAAAATGAAGGCATTGTATTGAGTTAGGAAGATCTTAAATCTTGTTTAGCATCTTGTCAGTAGCTGAATTTCTCGTTTAAGTGACATAACTGTGGTGTAATGATT